TCAAGCGATCCTCCTGCCTCAGCCTCCCGAGTAGCTGGGACTACAGGCATGTGCCACCATGCCCGGCTAATTTTTTTCTATATATTTTTAGTTGTCCAGCCAATTTCTTTCTATTTTTAGTAGAGATGGGGTCTCACTCTTGCTCAGGCTGGTCTCGAACTCCTGAGCTCACACGATCCTCCCACCTTGGCCTCCCAGAGTGCTAGGATTATAGGCGTGAGCCACCGCACCCAGCCTAAGCCACCGCGCCCGGCCAAAAATCTTAACAATTATGTTTCTCAAGGGCTCTACAAAGATTCAAGAGCACAAAGCAAGGCACTTCCTAATAGGAACATTAAAGCAAAATAAATCAACATCAATGAAATCAACTCCGTAAGGATCTGAGGCATAAAGGTATACCCTCATCACAAGTTAAAACTCATAAGAAGTATCTTACAGCAAGCATTTCTTACCCCCAAAATTTACCTTTTACTAAAGTTTTAATCTACTTGCAAAATTCCACTCTAAATAAGTTAAGAACTCTCAATATGCAATAATGATGATAAAAATAACAAAAAAGAAGTTATGTTCTTGTGCTTGGTAGTCTCATACCCATTCTACACATCATTCACACTTGAATTTTTTAAAGACAAACAACAAAAGCAAAACTGAAAGCTGAACTCACTTTCCAGTGTCTTTAGCAAGATCGCACCAATCTCTTCTGACTATATCTAATCCTTTCAGCTCCTGTTTGGTGAAATAATTCCCATCCGAAGTTGGCTCGACAACCAGAGCAGCATATTTCTTTTTCTTCAGCAGTAGCAGAGACTTGAAAACACCATCAATGTCTATCTCTAGCAGTTTGTACAACTTATTCACTTCACTTTTTACCTGTGAAAATTTCAAACATTAATACTAACTTCTGAAACACCTAATGGGGAGAAGATAAACATGTTACAAATTCCCAAGTTAATCTAAACAGAACTTGAAGTCATACAAGATTAGACATTTACTCAGCTTATATGTAACATGATACTGTACTGGGCACAATGCAAAGACACTGAAAAACACAGGGACAAAAATGGATTAAAAAACAGAGACAATAATATATTTGCCACTCAACCAAAGGACAGGATTGGCTGGATCCGTCCCTGGAAATACATGAAAATTATGAAACAGTCTCCTTTGAATCTAAAGATTTAATACACATGTACAGTACTTGTCTTCAAACTACTGACTTAGTTAGTGATTAGACAGTCCAACAAGTAGATATGTGGCCAGAAATAAATAAAACTTGGACTGTTAAAATAATGTCTAAGATCTCCCTTAACACCTTGAATATAAGGAAATAACTACATGCTAAAGAAATACATGAACAGTCCCCTGGTCTTTACTAACAGGGTCAAGGCACAGACCATCATCTCTAGGGAAAATATATAGCTTTTCAAGGCTCAGGATGAGTACAATATGCCAGGCTTGCTCTCAAGTGTATACTACAGTTCAAATTCCACACATTCCAGGAGAGAAAGACAGGAAGTTGTTATGTTTGAAAGATGATATCTTAGTTTTAGTTTATTTGGACAGAATCTTAACATAGCAAGTGCTCAAGAAACAGTTGCTAATTGTGAATGCTATTAAGAGGCTACAAATGATTATTTTAAAAATGTCCCCTTGCTTTTTCAAATATATTTTCAGCACTCCTATAAAAATTAAAGATATGTGTGTGTGTGTGTGTATGTGTGTAGGTAGGTAGGTATTTATCCATGTATAAAATGCATCTGCATGAAACTAGATATGTATTTCCTTAGGAAAAGACAATGTGGTAAGTACTAATGTGACCACATCTTATACTTACGACGCTTATACTGTGTCCAAAAGAAAAATCTATCATTTAAGGAAGATATAATTATTAGGTCATTAAGTATGAAATGTCTGATTTCAAATCAAAAGTGTAGTTTACTATGTCTCAAACAAGAAGCAGTACAATTAATCAAAGTATGTGCCTAAACTATCGACACAGTTTTGCCATCTCAACAGTAGCTCGTTTATGCCAGCAGCAAAGAAGCCTGGAGAGTGAGCGGTGACGAAATTGCAAAAGGCGTTTTCCACAGCTTGTTGGGAATTGAATATTTTTCCTTGCAAGAAGTGGTCCAAAGCTTGGAAGAAGTGGTAGTCAGTTGGTACAAGGTCTGATGAATATGGTGGATGACAGAGTTTCCAAGTCCAGCTTCTGTAGTTTGAGTGGCATTGTGCAACATGTAGTTGAACATTGTCTTGCAAGAGGACTGGCCTGTCTCTACTGACCAATCTTGGCTGCTTAATTGCAAGCATCCTCATCATTTCATCCAAGTGGGTGCAGTAGACATCCACTGTAATCAGTTGACCAGTTTTCATGAAGCTGTAGTAGATAATACCAGCGCTGGACCACCAAACACACAACATTAGCTTTTTTTTGGTGAATATTCAGTTTTAGCTGTGTTTCAGCACTTCATCTTTATCCAACCATTGTGCCCAACACTGCAATTGTCAAAAAGAACCCATTTTTCATCACACATAACAATATGGTGTAGAAATGGTTCGCCTCTATGTCATGACAGCAAAGAAAGGCAAGATTTGAGACAGTATCTCTGCTGAAGTTCATTCAATTCACACAGAACCCATCTCTCCAGCTTCTTTACCTTGCTGATTTATTTTAAATGGTCCAATATTGTTGGAATAGTAACATCAAACCTTACTGCTAATTCAAGTGTAGGTTGAGATGGATTCACTTCCACTGCAGCTTTCATCTCATCATTATCCACCTTGGATTCAGGTCACCCATGTACCTGATTTTCAAGATTAAAATCACCAGAACAGAACTTCTCAAATCATCAACGTACTGTGCATTCATTAGCCACATCCTTCCCAAACACTTCGTCGATATTTCGAGCTGTTTGTGCTGCATTGGTTCCACGACGGAACTCATATTTGAAAATAACACGAATTTTTGACTTATCCCTGGTTTCACAAAAATTGCTCTAAAAAAAACTTTGAAAGATGATTGCAAGCCAAAACATACATTTGAAAGACTGAGGATGTATCTTCACAAAAATAAAACAAGAAGTGTCAAAGTGAAATGTCAGAGATTATCAAATGCCAAACTTAGTACTTAAGGAAATCAGACATTTCATACTTAATAACCTAATACTTTTGAATTTTACCCTCAAAACAAACAACTGGAATAGAAGTCAGAAAAATATAAAGAGAATGAAGAACTGAGAGGCACCAAATTTGTTATTTTCAGTAGCACACATATGTACATATACATGAATTTATGGTGTTCCATGTTAAAAACAGAATTCACAAAAATAGGTAAAAAAGATAATTCCATAAAATTATCTTACCTTGTTTCCCAACTTAAATACTTCTTCCAGATTGGTGCTATTGGTGTTTATCATAATTGAATCTGTATCTCCATAAATAACTTCAAGATTCATCTAGTAAAAAACAAAAATTATAAAAATTAACAAAAACACAGTGACCATTATACACAATGAAATTAAAGATTTTCTACACTACATAAATTATAGGTTCCATTGACTTTTCAAAAGTTTATGTTATTATCCATATTGTCAGGGTATATAATTAAAGATTCAGCTCCTATAAACCAGAAAGGTGGGTATCATGACATTAAGAAAATCTCCCAAATTTTCTTAAAACTGAGAGTGGAGTGGAAGAGGAATTGTATCTAGTTTAAACCGAAACAAAATATGGAATTGAATAATGAGAAAAAAATAGAATAAAAGAGTAGGAAATGGGTCTATATTTACCCACTATAGCACATGCTTGTGGTCATGGCAATTTAAGAAGCGGAAACATAATGGATTTTATAAATTCAGGGGCACAAATCCATATTAAATTCTTAACAGTTGCAAACAGTATTTAGTAGAATATGAAGAGTGCCAAAAAAAATCAATCATAACAAACAACACTAGAGCACATACAGTATAAAGGCCTGGAAATAAACTCTAATTAGCACTGTTACTAATTTGCTTGAAACACTCACATATAGGCTTCAAGCAGGGGCTAGATCATATCAGTGTTGGTAAAAGAAAAAAGCTGTAATCCATTAGGAGGGATTATAAATGTAAACTAGGCATCCTAAGAAGCAATTTCCAGTTTGTCTGGGTTATAATTTTCCTTGAATACAAAAACGTCACCAGTTATGATATTTAAGAGTTCTCATACAATGAAAATGCTCAGCATTACCTTCTGTACCATCTCTTTCGTATGCATCAGAATCTAAATGAAACAAAAGTCAAGATTAATACATTGCACAATTACAAAGACATAAATATAAGCACATAGAGATAGGTAACTCCCAATGATCTGCCATTTCCGTATATTTTTAAAGTTCTTGAAGGTTTTCTAATGACAACTCTCAAAATAACAACATCAACATAATCCAAAGATAAGTTTGACACTATGCTGATTCTTACCCAGAGATATACAAGCACATATATATCTTTAATAAACACACAGTAAAATATCCCTTTATAATATAACAAAAAGGCAAACTATTCTCATTACTAAGATTTAAATAGAACTGCATAGCTAAAAAAAAAAGCTTAACAAAGCACTTCAAATCCGGCAATTCTTACTCATGGTATTCAGGATCTTAAAAAGTAAAAAAAAAATATATGCAGTAGATTTAAAATTCTTCTCTAGACTAAATTCATTGAAGGCAGAGAGCAGAGCTTCACTATATTGCCTGTAGCTAACACAGCACCCAGTAAAAAGGTGGAGCTCAATGTACATTCAGTGAATAAAGACAAACTTATGAATACTATCTGTAGATGGGTCTGTCCCCAGGCCTATGTAGCCACAGACTAGAGATATATAGGTTATAATGTGGACACAAATAAAAACTGATATAAATTATCTTGAGCCGGTTCAGAAGTAACACATATTTAACAAATGAAGCCCTCTTAAAAGGTAGTAATATGATATAATGAGGACAGAGAGAGAGAGAGAGAGAGAATGTGTGTTTAAAATGTGCCAGATACTATGCAGGAAGCACCTCACACATTTTCTCATTTGATTCCTCAAGATCCCCAAGAGGTAACTATTATTAATATCCTCATTTGTTAGATGCCAAAAGACAAAGTAATTAATGTGTCCTAGTAATGACAGGAAAAGGATATGAATCCAGGCACTCTGACTCCAGAGCATGAGGTCTTAGTCACTCCATGCTATTGCTTCTCTGCTATCGCCCATCTTTCAAAGCATCAGTCTAAACCAGAAGTCACATTTCTAATGGGCCAGATAAAGATTTACCTCATTTACATCTCTTTCTCCTACTTCAATAGGTCTCCTTGTCAACTAAGCTCAAACCTCACGGTGTCATTTCTTTCTTGTCCTCTATATTGCAGAGCTCTGTAAATCCTGTCTTTAGAGTATCTTTTATATCTACTCATTACTTTCCATTTTTATTGCCCCCTTCCCTTTATTACTATCTCCCAATTTTGTTCAGATGTTCATTGTCCTATGTTCTTAGAGAAGGAAGCCCTTCCCCCATCCTGGGGGTGGTGGGAGGTGGGGAATTCTGATTAGGAGAAGCCAGTGGTTTTAATATTGGCTATACAGTGGAATCACCTGGAGATCTTTAAAAAAAAGAAAAAAAATCTGGTCCCAATAGTTTTTTTTTTTTTTTTGAAAGCTCCCAAGATGATTCTTACATTGTAAGCTGGGTTAAGGACCACTGGCCTAAGATAATCATGGTAATTCCATTCTGGAAACAGTGATCAGTTTAGACATATGCTGTGACAACACACAATCCTGGCCAATTAAAGGTAAGGAGAATTCTGGCAGGATGTTTCTGTGAAAGGTTTTCCTTACTGAGTACAAGTGGAAAGAAAAATTGCCTTTTTAGACGGAGGGCTGCTTGGAGCAGCAGCAACCATCACTGTGATCATGAAGGGCCATGCCTAGGGTGCAAGCTAACATGTTGAGCAGGGTAGGCCACAGGTGGAAAGCACCTGACTCCACGGTGGTGGGGTTATCACTGAGGGTTAACCAATTGGCACCTCTACTGCAAAATTCTAACTGGCTTTAGGTCTCATCAACCCACCCTGAATGTATTGTTACCAATATCTTAAATGTTTTCAATGCCTTCCCAATGCCCACAAGATCAAGACCAAATTCTGCAATTGTACCTAAACCACTGCTCCACCTGTACAGCCTATTATTCCCTTACACAAACCCTCTTGCCAGGCAGGATAAATTTCCCAGTCCTCCAACAGTTAACTGTGTACAGACTTGTCTTTTCATGCTCTTACTCATGTAGTGTGTCCTCTACCTGGAATTTCTTCCCCAGTCCTCTTCCTGTAATTGAATTTTACAAACCTCAGCTTAAATCCTTCTATAAAGCCTGAGCTGACTGGACCAGCCCATAGTGATCTCTCTCCTCTGACCTCTGCTTGCACTATTCTACTAGTAGTTGAATGATGCTTTATGTTATTAGTTGACAGTTTATTCCTCCCACCTCCTCAACTAGCCCATGAGTTCCTGGAAGTCAGAGCACATGTTTGTGCCTAACTAAAGACTTCACACACAACAGGCACTCAACAAACTGTTTGCCAGTTGACTGATAGGTCCCACAGTAATCCCAATTACTTTTCCACTAAACTCTAAAATTTAGTTAACTTATAAAAAAATTCACTCTCCTCCCATTCATCTTCATTTTTTAACATTTAAATTACAGGGAAATGCATTGCGGGAGAATACTTGACAATTCCTTTGGGAAAAGGGCAACAATGAGATCAACCCAAGTCAAGTCAATCATAGTGAGGACAGAACCACTTATCAAGAGTTCTCTTTACTCTCTGACTCTTCCACCTTGCTAGGCTTAGCTTTCCTCATCACAATGAAGAACTCCATAAGGTAACTGTTACCTACACTAAGTAAAATACCTCAGGAACAATTTGTCAACCTTTTACTACAACTCTGCATATTCAGTAACCAATCTCTTCTACTCTTCTTTCAGAGGGAACCAAACCTACTATGTCATCCCTGAGTGCACCTTCAATGTGAAATGGCAACCTTTACCTTTCAGATCCATTATTCACCCTTACTCTATCCTGCCACCAACTCACAACCATTTCCATGCACAATCTGAGGGCTGCTACCAAAACGATTTTCTCTTTGGTGGCAGAAACCTTTTGGGGGATGATGCTTTTGCAGAAATGGCAAACTATAGACTATGCTGCAACTCCTTTTTCACTTAACACTTTATCTTAGAGATTATTCCAAATCCACACATAGGAGTTGCCTTATTCTTTTTAATGACTACATAGTACTCCATTGTATGAATAGATCATAATTTATTTAACTTGTGCACTATTAATGAACATATAGGTTGTTTCTACTCTTTACCATTATAATCATACTTTAACAAATAATCTTTATACATACATAATTTTCAAATCTGCCAGTAACAAAATAAATCCCTACAACGAAACTTACTGGTCCAAAAGTTTTAAAGGTTTAAAAAATATTTTTTTGAGACAGGGTCTTGCTCTGTTGCCCAGGCTAGAATGCAGTGAGTGGTGTCATCATACCTCACTGCAACCTCAAACTCCCAGGTTCAAGAGATCCTTCTGCCTCAGCCTTCTAAGTAGCTGGGACTACAGGTGCATGCCACCATACCTGGCTAATTTTTCCATTGTTTGTAGAGACAGGATCTTGCTATGTTGCTCAGGCTGGTCTCAAACTCCTGGCCTCAAACAATCCTCTGGCTTCGGCCTCCCAAAGTGCTAGGATTACAGGTATGAGCCACCACGGTACCTGGCCTAAAATTTTTTATAAATATAACTCAATAGGTCTCCATAGAGATTGTAACTATTTCTGTGGATAGTTTTAATCACCATCTTTCCAGTGGACCTCACCAATAGCTGATGATAATGCTGTCTCAGGTTCAAGGTCCTCACCACAACTTGTCAACTCTTTATTCTATATGAGATAACCCACAACCAGGCTGACCCCTAATCTTTCATGCTTCTTCACTAAGCAGTTCTAGATGGTGGGTACCCTAGTGCCCTCTCCCATCCAATGCTTATCCCCAAGTGCTAATGACCAGGATCACTACAAAGGCACCCTCAGGCTCCGCCCTCAATCAAACTAATCACTGGGGAAGGCTCAGCTGTTGGACGCCCAGTAAGCTACCAAATTCTTAGTATCTAGCAGAGGGCCTGGTACACGGGAGCTATTAATAAATATTTATAGAATGCTAAATGAATAATCCTATAGAGTATGCAGTGTTATAAGCCCCCTTTGACAGATGAGAAAAATTAGGCTCTGAGATTTTTTCCAAAGTAACAGCTAGTCAAGAGCTTGATCTAGAAGCTGGACCTTATGTTTGATTTTCTTTTCATTACGTCCCACTGCCTTATTTAAAAAAAAAAAAAGAAACCATACCACATGACTGTTCTAGAAACCAACAATCAAAAACTTATACATTACAGATATTTTCCTCATTGAGGAAATGCATTTTTTTTAAATAACCAGAGTTACCCAGAAAGGTCTACTGGACACAAGATACAGTGATTACAAAATGACCATTCATAAGTTCACTTCGAAGTGACAAGCCTAATATTAAGGCTATCCATTCTGACAGAAAATCATTTTATAAGTGCCAACGGCTAGAAAACAGGGCTATAAAGCCTTGCTAAATTCATTAATAAGGCAGTCTGCAGTTATCTGATTTCACAGCAACACCTGCATATTTATCTACTCATTACCAATTGGATGATGGAATTTTTTCAAGCACATTTCAAAAATCTGCCAACTCCAAGTGTAAAAAAATAAACTTTGTGGTTAATTTTTCCCTTAACAAAGTACAGCTGTTGAGAATAATTGTTCAAGATCTTACCCTGTAATGTCAACTGCAGCAGAACAAAGAGTATTTAATTAGCAAATCTATCCAGTAATTCAACACCTATTATATAAAATGCCTTCGTGATTTTATTCAGGATAATTTGCTAAGAGGGTTATTACTGACATTCAGATGGAATTTAAAATTCCTACGCAAGTCGAGTCATAATAGCAGTAATGATCTCCCCAATCAGGAGATTCGGTGTCACACAAGGCTCTCTTGCAATGCAGCAGCCGATTTCCTGACTTCTTAATTCCTGGGCTCAGCTCAGTGAGAGCCCTTCATGCCGATATTTCAGTCAGCAATACATCTTTAATGGGACTCTATTAAAATAACTAGAACAAAAATGACTTTTTTTTGGTTAAAAAGA